TGTAGTCTTCGTAAACACTGGAGAAATAATTAGCAAAAGCATTAACAATGTTATTAGGAGTAATAAATTCTTCATTTAATAAATGTAAACTATTCGGCAGAAAATTATTATTACGTTTGTTATTAATAAATTTCCAGAGTTGATTAGGATGAGTTTTTAAATTATTTTGAATTTTTTTAAAGTAATTTTGATAGTCAAATTTTGAAAAATATTTACATTTTGCACGAAGATTAGAAAATTTATTATAATCACTCACCAAACCCGAACTCTTCAAAATTTTATAGGCTATACTTTTCTTAAAAATTAATTCTTTTAAATTTCTACTAAACCATGGAGGATGAGTAGAATGTTTTTTAATGATTTTAGGTACAAAAATCTCAAAAATTTCATAAATAATAGAGTAAAACAAATTGACAGCTTGATTTACACATACGTCTTTAAATAGGTTATTCCAGTCGATCGATGATAAAGTGAAATTTATTTCCGCGTAGTTACAATTAAAAAAATTATAAATACAAAAATTATAATCAATCGGTTTATTTACAACTATAGGAAAAGAAATGAGTAAGCCAGGATGATAAGCATCACATGGAACAAGAGGATTATTAGATTTTTTAACAGACACATTATGTAAATCAGAAAAAACTAAATCCAATATTGATCCAGTTTTATTATAAATATTGTTGAATTAAAAAAGGTTTAAAAAAGATAATGTAGATAGAATTTCAGAGTAATGGTTACTTAAGTTTTCTAGACTAGGAATAAATCCATTGGATGTATAAAGCCATATATAATCAGGAAGATTGTAATCACCAACCATAATTAAGTTTTTAACATATGAAAACTTCAATAATAAATTATTAATAATATCGAAATGAATATTATAAATTGAAATGTCTGATAGAGGAGGAAAATAAACATTACCAATAATTATATAATTAAGATTAATTTTAGTTATGACAAATATGTGTTCGACTGGACTAGCCGGTACAGATAATACTTATTATAATTATAATTATAATTATAATTATAATTATTATTATAAAACTTATTATTAACCGATAACAAAACACCACCACCTCTGGAATGAGTACTTGTATTTTGGTAGCATTTAAATTTGTGCATTATCGCTGTATAAGATTTTTGCAATCCCGCGTATATTAAAAAATCTATCTAATGCATTTAAAAAAGACTTCGTGCTTAAGTCAGATACTAATTCAATATGAACTGCTTTTGTTGAAAAACAAATAAATATACAAGCGTAACATTTTCATAGACATGCCCTTTTTCTAAGACTGTCCTTTATCATCAGCGGACCGGCAAAATCACAACCACTTATTAAAAAAGCTCTTCCCTGCTCAAAACTATTACTAGGTAGATCGCCCATAATGGGTTGTATTACAACCGGTCTATATCGGAAACATTTAATACAATGATGCAATACGCCTTTTGCTGTCTTACGTGCGTTGAATGGCCAATAATTTAATCTAATAGTAGATAACATTGCCTGCGGGCCGCCGTGCATTAAACGTTCATGTTCGCGTAGAAATAATAAACGCGTGTATTTACACTTATCACCAGGTAACACTATAGGATGACGTTGACATTTTATCAATATATAATGCATTTTTCAGCCTACCACCAACTCTAATTATATGTTTATCGTCTAAAAACAGTCTTAATCGTAACAATTTACTTTTCTTTGACACCTCTTTACCGTTTATCAAACAACTAATTTCTTTAGCAAAACAATTATTTTGCACAATACGTATTAAATTAATATTTGCCCTATTTAATTCATCTGCATTTATAACACTTGTTTTGAGCAATTTTTTATGTACTTTAATATCTATAAATCTTAAACAATAAGCCATAATACGTAAAATTTTATTTAAAGATGAAAATTTGTCTAACAAATTAGCTTCTTCTATTACATTACCAATAAATTTAGTTGTACTTTTTCTTTCCAACAAATTGCTTGAAATTTCTAATACTCCATTATTTTGACTTGGCCATTCCGTTTTATCCTTACTCAACCAAGACGGTCCTTGTCACCATAACTGAATCTCATTCATCAACTTCGCTTTACACCCTCTAGAAAGCAAGTCGGCTGGATTATCCTGAGCCCATTCTGATGGACAAGATAAATTCTGAATTTCACCAACTCGGTGAGCAACGAATGTCTTCCAATTTGTGGACGGAGAAGATATCCACGCCAAAACTATATTTGAGTCCGTCCAAAAGTACTTTTTTATAATATTTAATTTTAACTTTTCCATAACATTATAAGATAACCGTGGGAGTAATAATGCTGCGCATAGTTCTAATCTGGGTATAGAAATTACTTTTAATAGAGCTGCATTTGATTTCCCACAAATAAGCCTTAAACTATGTTTACCATCGTAAGTATATACATCCACCATATGCCTTTTCTGATGCGTGCAAAAAACCATGTATTTCTATTGACAAAATATCTTTTTCGCGCGTTATTTTTCGCGGCACTTTTAAATTATTCAAAGTTAACAAGCTCTCGCGATAATTTAACCAGTTTTCACTTATATTATCAGTTAATACTTCATCCCTTGCTAATTGTATGTTCCATAAACTTTGAATGAAGAGTTTGGCTCTTATTATTACAGGTCCTAAAAGACCAAGCGGATCATAAATACTGGCTACCTCAGATAATATTTTCCTTTTAGTTAAATCACTTTCCGGGTAAATGTTTAAATTTATTTTAAATATAAACATATCATTAGCGGGGTCTTACGTTAGACCAACTATTTTTGTTATCGTTGATTCAAATGCATGTTCGTTATTTTTATTTTCAACCGTGTCGTCTACAACTGTGTTTTTATTAGATAACCACTTACACAGCGACATACCGGCTCGTTGAAATATACAGATAAGATCGTCGCGTAACTGAACAGCTGATTCGATAGTGTCTGTGCCTCCTAAATAGTCGTCCATGTAAAAATTATTTTTTATTTCAGAACAAGCTGATAGATAATAATTTTCTACCTAACTAGCTAAAGTACGTAAACAAGCAGTTGCTAAAAACGATGAAGGACTTATACCATATGTGACTGTTGTTAATTTATAAATTTCTATGGGCATTATTGGATTTTTTCTCTATAATATTCTTTGGTAATCACAATGTTCAGGAGCTAAATTAATTTGTTGATACATTTTTTTTATATCTGCAGTTAAAGCAACTCTATGTTTTCTAAAACGTATTAAAATAAAAATCATATTGTCTTGTAAGACCTTTTAATAGTACGTCATTCAGTGACTTACCAGATGACGTTTTACACAACGCATCGAATACAACACGAAGTCGTGTTGTTGTGCTGTTATAATTATATACAGCGTGGTGCGGTAAGTAACATATATGTACCCCAACTATGGGTTTCTTATTACTAATTTTCTGCATATGACCCAATATTTCGTATTCTTTCATAAATTTACTATATTCCTCTTTTAACTTTTCGTCTTTTTGCAACTTTTTTTCCATATTTAAAAATCTTCTTTTTGCTATCTCGTATGATTCGCCTAATTTATAATTTTCCCCTTCTTTAAAAGGTAAATAAACCATAAATCTACCGACATCGTCTCGCTTAACCGTATTTTCGAAAAACTCTTTACACTTTTTATCTTCTAACGTTAGTGGCGTGGCTGTTCCTACTTCTTCCAAAAACCAAAATTTAGATAACATATTTTCTAATTCATTTTCGTGATCAATCACTGCCGAATAACTAATAGAATGATACGCTTGACTATAGCCCAGATTTACTACTCCTGTAATTACCCAACCAAACTGCGTTTGTTGAAATATTGGTCCGTCCTCGGACGGTTTAATTTTACCCGTGCATATAACATCAAAAAAGTGACCTGCTCCGAGTAATAAGTCTATTTTTTGCGGTACTGTGAAAGACGGATCCGCTAATTGAATACCTTCCGGAATAAAACATTTACTTTTTATATTATTCGACGGAATAAATCCTGTTATCTTAGGAACAACCAAACATTGTACTTCTATTTTGAATAAACTAATGCGCGATGTAATTACTACTGTAACCGCTGAAGTAATATTTTTTTTAGTACCTCTTATGCCAATGACACTGTGGTGTACTCGCGATTTACGCAACCTTAATAATTGTACCATATATTCACTTATAAAGTTACACTGTGAACCAGAATCCAGCAAAATTATACATTTTTCTTTTCCACTTTTAACATTATCTGCATAAGCTTCTACTGTTGACAACAACACTTGTTCGTGTAATTGAGCAGCTGCAATAGCGCTCGTTGATACGTTATCTGAGACTACTGAATTGTCGTTTGTAGTATTATTATCTACTTTTATTTCTCGATTTAGAGTTGTATTTAAATGCAACAATACATTGTGTGGTTTTGAACACTTTAAACAATAACGCGCTGTACATCTTTCACTATGCCGCCTCAAACAAATTTTACATAGTTTGAGTGCCACTGCCTTTTTAATTCTATCCGCAATTGATAATGAAAAAACTGTGGACAACGTTATATTGTATGTGGCAAATCACAAATATACATTTTAATCCTTGCGTAATTGTTACCGCAGCTGATCTATACTTATTTTGTTTGATAAACATATTTTGGTTACCAAGTTGTTGGTTACCTCGCGAATAAATATTTTTGGACGCTTCTACCACTTCTAATACTTTTACTCTATTTTCCAAAAATGCAATAAATTTGGATACGTGTGCTATTCTATCTTGGGGTGATTCTGCTTCCCATGTATTTAGCGTATTTCTATCAAGCCTAGTACAAATTAAATGCATTAACATCGGCCCCCATTCTTCAGGTTTTTCTTCTAACATTTTTAATGCACTAATACGACAGACTAAAGAATCCAAAAATTCTCTTATTTTAACAGCAGACTCTTGATGCACCATTCCTAGCTCAAAAATAGCTTTCACGTGGGTTTGAATTATTAACTTATTATTGTCATATCTCTCTTTTTACATTATCCACGCGATTTCATAATTATTCGCTGTTGTTTCTAAACTTTTAATAATATTTGCTGTCTCTCCTGATAAAGATGAGCGCAAATAGCAAAATTTCTGAATATCCGATAGATTTGCATTAACATGTATAAGTTTAGAAAATAAATCATAAAAAAGTTTCCATTCACTGTATTCGCCAGTAAATACTGGAATACTTATAGGAGCTAACTTAACGTGAGAAATAAATTTATTTGTTTGACCACAAGAACTTTGTTGACAACTATATTGATTTTCTTTGATTTCTCTATTTTCGACTTTTGACGAACTTACTCTACCAATTAATTTATTTGCTTTGACTAATGTTCTAAAAAATAATTCTTCACATTCCTCTTATATATCTCTTGTTCCTCCACGTTTACCTCTTCTTCGAGCTCTATAGCTCCTTGAATAACTTCGAACTCTGACCAAACAGCCTCTATTTTTTTTATCTGAAATAATATTTGCTCTATTGAGACTTTTCCACTACTTAAATATTTTTCGAATTTTATTAAAGACGTTTTTAATTGTCCTCTGCGCTGCGGAAGATTAATGCTCGTTTCCCCCATGTCGAAGGTAAGTGAGAACGTGAAAATGATACGTCAAAAGATCACAAATCGTATCTAGTCGAAGACATTACCCTCAAAAATTGAAAAAAATTCCCTCGTTCCCCGTAAATGGGGGAAACCTCCAAAAAAATTACAAATTTAAAAATGGCTAATTTTCGAAATTTTTTCAATTTTTTTTACTAAAAACTGCCGTAACTTTTTTAAAAATAAATTTTTATAGATGCATGATGTCATTACCTATCATTTGGTATATTTTTTTTATAAATCTGACTTTTTACCTGCATAACGGGGGGGATTCAAAATGACAACTTTTTCACAAAAAATTTATTTTTTCAACTTGACTTTTGAAAATGTTCCGGAAAGTCTGAAACTTTTATATATATCTTAAATTAAAGTTAATGTAATGTACTTTATTATGCAAAAAAAAAATTTCGAACTTTATTTTGTCTTCACTGTGAAAATGGCTACCGAATGCTATTATTGTGTAAAAATTCTCAATGTTATTTTTTACATTTTTAACATTATAATTCTATAACTTATTGAAAAGTGTATGGATCGACACAATTTTTTTATGAGAAATAATATTTTTTAATTATCCCTTTTTCATTCGACATACTTTATCTTAATCAAGATATTAATAAGGAACTAGCTGATCATGTAGCTTTTGGAATAATACACCAATTTTTTAAAATTAAACACTATTTAAAGATTTGCATCGAAGCGTTTTTTTTTTGATAATGATTTAAATCACTGTCAGATATCATTATACTTGATCCATCTATGCCACGTCACCACTGTGCTGCGACCCCCCTGTGCTGGGTTTTTTTCCTTACAACTGCCATAACTTTTTTAAAAATAACCAAATCAATATAATTTTTTTTTATAGATGCATCATATCTTTACCTTTCATTTGGTAAAGTGTAACAAATTTATATATATCTTAAATTAAAGCTAATGTAATATATTTAAATATGGAAAAAATAATTTTCGTATTTTTTCTCTTTACAGTGAAAACAGACATTTTTTGAAAAAAATATTTTAAACTATTTTAACATCGATGCGAAGCTGAGAAGTTATTATTTTTACTATGATGTTTTTTAGCTTCGACGCGAAGCTGATAAGGTATTGATTTTGCTGTGATATGTTATTTTTTTTATTTTTTTTTTTTGTATCTGTTACTACTTTTTTCAGCTCTCACCGAACGGATTTCTTTCAACGATACGTCAAAAGATCACAAATCGTATCTATCGAAGATCTTACCCTTAAAAATTGAAAACAATTCCTTCGTTCCATGTCAATGGAGAAAATCCTCAATAAAAATACAAATTTAAGAATCGCTAGTTTTCTAAATTTTTTTTTACTAAAAACTGCCATAACTTTTTCAAAAATGAACATATCAATATAATTTTTTTTTATAGATGATTGATACCTTTACCTATCATTTGGTATTTTTTTTCATAAATTTAACTCTTTACCTGTCCACAGAGGGGAATTTAAAATGACAACTTTTTCACAAAAAATTAACTTTTTAAAATGTTTCGGAAGGTCTGACACTTTTATTTATATCTTAAATTAAGGCTTATGTAATATACTTAAATATAAAAAAAAAAAATTTTGGACTTAATTTTTTTTTCGTGATGAAAACAAAGTCATCAAAGTTAATAAAAAAAAATACGATTTTTGTAAAAAAATTCTTTTTCATATTGTTAACTTTATAACGCTATAAATCTTTGAAAAATGAATGGATCAATACAATTTATTTATGAGAAATAATATTTATATACTTTAATTCGACTTATTTGTTTTTTAAATCGGACCATTTTTCTTAATACAGGGGGGGTCAAAACATAAAAATGCATAGAAAAGTAGAACTTTTTCAACTTACATTTTTAAAGTGTTCCGGAAAGTCTGACACTTTTATATATATCTTAAATTAAAGCTAATGTAATGTACTTTATTATGCAAAAAAAAATGTCGGACTTTATTTTGTCTTCATTGTGAAAATGGCTACCGAATGCTATTTTTGTGTGAAAATTCTCGATTTTATATTTTACATTTTTAACTTTATAATGCTATAACTTATTGAAAAGTGTATGGATCAACACAATTTTTTTATGAGAAATAATATTTTTTAATAATCTCTTTTTCATTCGATATATTTTATCTTAATCAGGGTATTAATAAAGAACTAGCAGATCATGTAGCTTTTGGAATAATCCACCAATTTTTTAAAATTAAAGACCATCTAAAGATTTGCATCGAAGCGTTTTTTTTTTATATTAATTTTAATCACTGTCAGATACTATTATTATTATTATATTATAATCAACGACAAGCGGTTTTTACAAAATTAACAGACAATAAAAAATTGGACAACAGATAACAACTTAATAGACACATAACTTATACTAACTTAATATTAGAGAGAAAAGAAGACATGGTAAATAATAAATAAAATATAAATGGTGTAAATTGTATAAAACAGGATGTGAGCACTGCGTACTATAAATGGTTTAATAACATATTTTATTATTTGCATTATACATCATTCTTATAAGTGGAGCATTCCTGGAGAAGTTAGTTTTATTGGTGGGGATATAAAAATTACACTGAAGCCTAGTATTACTAGGAATCCGAAAACATAGTTCTCCAAGAAGCCTGGGAGCATCAACTTGACCTTCGATCAGACCCTGAATAAAAGTGATACCAAAATTATCACGCCTAATAGAAAGAGGTACAAGTCTCAGAGCTTGACTTACTGGCTCGTATTCATGTGGAGGATGAGGAATGTTGAGGCAATAACCGGCGAAACGCATAAAACTACTTTTTACACGTTCGATCTGACAGATGTCAACTGCGGTATATGGTGACCAAACAATAGACCCATATTCAATAACCGACCGGACTAGTGCACTATAGAGAGTTAAAAGGCACTTGGGAGAGCTGAAATTGGTTGAGTGACGTCTTATAAATCCCAAAAACGAAAATCTTTGCTGGTTGCATAATCAATATGAGGGCTGAAATTAAGGGAAGGTACAAATAATATGCCTAAATCATGGACCTGATTAACGCGCTGAATATATATACCATCAAGATTATAGTCAAAAGATATCACTGACTTGGAACGAAAGAAAGTCATTACTTTACATTTAGAAATGTTAAGAGATAAATTAAATGTACTACACCAACTGGTGAATTTATCAAGGGTATTTTGGAGAGTGAGGCAGTCATTGTTTGAGGTAATCATGTGAAAAATTTTAGAATCATCGGCAAAAAGTAGAAGACGACAAGGGGAAACAACTGAGCACATAGTGTTAATAAAAATATTAAACAATAAGGGACCTAAATGGCTGCCTTGTGGAACACCAGACGATGCCCGGAAGAGATCAGAAGACTTACCGAAGAGGCTGACAAATTGTTGTCGCCCACTAAGGTAAGAAGTAAACCATGATAAAAGTGGCTCGCCAACACCAAGTCTATCTAGGATATATAGAAGTGCATTGTGGTCTAAAGAGTCGAACGCTTTAGAAAAGTTCGTATATATCACATCAACTTGATTACCCAATTCGAACGCCAAGTGAAGGTAAGATACAAAAACAACATGACTAGTCGCAGTCGAGCAACCTGGAAAGAAACCATGTTGATCAATTGATAAGGTGGTTAAGAAAGAATGTTCAATTCTTTTTAGTACTATATACTCAAACAGTTTACCTAGGATAGGAAGGCCGGAGATGGGTCTATAATTAGCAACATCAGCTGGATCCCCAGACTTTAGAATTGGCGTAACTCGAANGACTTGAGAATTGGCGTAACTCGACTTATTTTCCACACGGAAGGGAAAACCCCTTCTGCAAGTGATTGATTAAAAATTAAAGTGACCGGTAAACTGAGAGAGGCACGGCAGTGATACAGTAGATTAACAGAAATACCATCATTACACTTGATCCAACTATGCTACGTCACCACTGTGCCGCGACTCCCCTGTGCTGGGTTTTTTANGTGATTGATTAAAAATTAAAGTGACCGGTAAACTGAGAGAGGCACGGCAGTGATACAGTAGATTAACAGAAATACCATCATTATACTTGATCCAACTATGCTACGTCACCACTGTGCCGCGACCCCCCTTTGCTGGGTTTTTTATTATTTATTTTTATTAATAATAAATAGCAAAAATATGCTTTAAACGTAGACTAGGAAGAAAATTTCAATAAATGATAATTGTATCAAAAGTTATTATTTAGCAACGATTTTTGCAATTAATATTGTAAAAAATACAGAAAAATGTATTGTGTTCTAAAAAATAAATTATTCATCTTGAAACAATTGTATAACGCAAAAATAAAATGGTTAAATAAAAGTTCATCTGTATTATAAACTGTTGTATTATAAATTAACAAAACCCAAGTTCAATGAATTATGATGCTACCGAAAAGAGTTTTTAAAAATAAAACTACTGAAGAAAAAATTTTCTAAAAAAATTCTAAGCAATGCAAAATATTAGTACTACTAAAAGTGCAATAATATATGAAATATTCAAATAAAAAATATATATTTAGACTCTACATATTACAAAACGCTGACATTTTTAATCAAAATTATTCTAGTTAGATTAATGAATAATGCTTATTTTTATAGTTATAAGCGGTGTTCATTATATCTGAGACAGCTGTGTTTAATTATAAAAAATGTATATGTTGTAATTTTTATACAGCCAAAACTATTATAAATATTATTATTCATATTAGGTATGGCCACATGACGGACCATATTTAGAGTTGGTGTTGTTGAAAGCATAATAAATTGTTAGAGTTTGCACTTGTGTGGCGATCGCACTCTTAAGAAACGTATAAGTGTTATTTTGAAAAATTATAACATTTTTGATTAAAGCGCCATTGTTTCTTTTATTTATTTATCATATTTCACTTAATATACGAGTAACTACATGGGGCGTAGTGTAGTGTGTGGATCATACCGTTGTCGCCTGATGTTCAGCTACGCTGTTTTTTTTTTTTATAGTGATTTTAATCACTGTCAGATATCATTATACTTGATCCAACTATGCTACGTCACCATTGTGCCCCGACCCCCTTGTGGTGGGTTATTTTAATGTTATTATAATTTTTATATTATCTCTTAATTTTATTATATAAGTTATCATTTCATTATTTTATTAAAAATGATCCAATACTATTTCAACAATTATAAAATAAATAAAGATCAATAATTTTTAATTCCCAAAAAAACATTTTTACTATTAGTATTTTGAAGGAAATGTAAATATTTATTAAATTTTTTGAAAAAAAATATTTTTCCCAATATTTTGTTATTGTTTTTTTGTTTTTCATCTGTACCAATGATTTGTTCATTTTGTTCTTTATTATTTCACTGTATAATTATTATATATTAACTGTTTACCTGATGACGATTTCAAAATAAATCATATAATATATAATATTTATATTTTTCATAATACTCACGTCTTATTCGTTATGATAAGTAAAAAAAAAAAAAATTTTTTTAAAAAAGAATTTTAGTTTATATCCATTGTATGTAGTGTAAGTAAAGTTTATGTACTCTATTATGAACTGTAACCATCCTGAGAGCATTTTAATAACAAAAAAATCTTTGTTTTTCCGTTCAAATTTTCTATACTCTTGTTATAAACATAAGAAATTTTAAATATTTTTTTTTTATTAATACATTTTTAAAGTACAGTTTAATTTTTTTTGTAAAATCCTACTGTAGTCTAACAGTACATTGTCTCGTCCAGTGGGTTGGCGACTCTCATTGTGTATTTTTCAATGCGCCATGAAAATTACAAATTTTATCCGCTGTGGCCATTTCATTTAATTTTTTTTTTTATAATATTTGTAACCTTTCTAATATATACACTAATTTCTGGCGAGTCACATATATCGTATTTCTTTATAAAAATATTTTAGTTAATTTGATTTCAACAACCTACCACACTTTAATTGTTTATTACTAAAAATCCTTCGGTGAAGATATTATTATAGATTGTATATAAATATTTTCACTTATCTCTGATTATCCTGAAAAGTCAAATATTCTGTTGAGATGAATCATGTAGTTGATATCACTGTTAGCGATATATACATGTATATTAGGGTGGCCCTCAAAAATCGAATGTCTTTTTTTTTTTTACGCTACCCCTTAATTTTTTTTTAATGGTCAAAAAAATGAGCTGTGCAAAATTTGGGACCAATCCGTTAAGGTTAACCCGTGCCCCCGGGCCTATTAAGTTGAGTTATAGAGTCAAATTTAATAGAAATAACTGATCTATGTCTCATAACTTTTTTTGCTCTTAACTTAGAATAATAAAAGTAAAACTCAAGTAAAGGAAATTTTACNTCATAACTTTTTTTTCTCTTAACTTAGAATAATAAAAGTAAAACTCAAGTAAAGGAAATTTTACAAGAAATTCAAAAATAATAACTTCAATGTTGTTTTCTCAATAAATAGCCCACAAAAACACTACATACAGTAAAAAACATGTAAAAGTCTTAAAATACGTTATAACTGATTTTGTTGATTTTTAATTATTTATTTTCATTTTATTTTTTGGAAAACGCATATTCGTTTAAAAAAAGATTCTAGAAGTTTAATTTTTTATGCCAAGTACGATAATTATATTAGATTTATTATTTTATGGACAGTTAATTAATGATTAATTACAAATTTAACAAAATTGATTGTATTATTACATTTTGTCGTATCTATATATCAATTTTGGTTTACTGAATTACTTTAAGATAGTACCAATTATATTATTATTAAAGATAAGTATATTTGAATTATATTATTATATTATTCGACAACTGACATAATTTGTGTCGTATAAATGCAGCAGACAATTTGTGAACACGTTAAATATATTTTACCTGTTTATTATTATATATTAAATGATACGTTTTAATCACAAATGTACAATACTTTTAGCGTCTTTTAAAGTATTACGAACTAATATTTATCTTATTGGTAATTATTCCCACGAAATAACTGGTAGTAAGTTACCATCAAATTTACAACTATTTAATCTGAACACTGATTTTTTGAAAATTGATCCATCATTTTGGAGTGCGAACAACAGTTACATAAATGCTTTAAATACTATAAGTAAATTACGAGTCATTAATGATACAGCCTAGCGTGGCATTAAATTAATCTAAGACTACATTAATATATTAACTACAAATGAAGAACAGAAACAATACGTTTTACAAATAGTAAGTAATTATCGGAAAAAATTTCCTAATTGTAAAAAAAGTACATTATCAAAAAATATATTATAATAATATAATTTAATTATTGTTAAAATATTTTTTTTAAAGTTATTATTATTTAAAAAAAAAAAAATTAAAAATTGTTAATAACAATTAAATTAAACTGTTAGGTTTGTAATTAATCATTAATTAACTGTCCATAAAATAATAAATCTAATATAATTATCGTACTTGGCATAAAAAATTAAACTTCTAGAATCTTTTTTTAAACGAATATGCGTTTTCCAAAAAATAAAATGAAAATAAATAATTAAAAATCAACAAAATCAGTTATAACGTATTTTAAGACTTTTACATGTTTTTTACTGTATGTAGTGTTTTTGTGGGCTATTTATTGAGAAAACAACATTGAAGTTATTATTTTTGAATTTCCTGTAAAATTTCCTTTACTTGAGTTTTACTTTTATTATTCTAAGTTAAGAGCAAAAAAAGTTATGAGACATAGATCAGTTATTTCTATTAAATTTGACTCTATAACTCAACTTAATAGGCCCGGGGGCACGGGTTAACCTTAACGGATTGGTCCCAAATTTTGCACAGCTCATTTTTTTGACCATTAAAAAAAAATTAAGGGGTAGCGTAAAAAAAAAAAGACATTCGATTTTTAAGGGCCACCCTAATGTATATATGTATGTATATGCGTCTGTATACGCACTTGAAATTACACGACTTTTATTATTATATCAACTTGCGCGTAACTATTTCTCTAGACAACTCTATATTAAATCTACTCGAGTTAAAAATCCAATTTATTATTCTTTTGATATTTTATGTAAACCCTTTTTGTTTATTTATGTGGTATGCGTAATGTTTTATATTAACACATTTGTAATTTAATAATTTGTAAAACCAATAAATAACATTACTATCCTGTGTAAGAAAACTATTTCCAAATAGCCTACGTCTTTTCAGTAGTCCACAGAGTGATCTAGGGTAGATGCGAGCTCAATTTAAGTTTGTTGCACAATAGATTATACTAGTATCCTACACTCTGATTGCCCGCGCTATTCCTTTTCGGAAAAACGGCTGAGGTCAGACTGCCTAGTCAAAATGCGGAGAGACACTAACCAGATAAATGCTTACAATTAAATAAATTGTTAGTGAATCAGTATAATATTTCGATTGCAATATAATTTGTATTTCGTAGCTGGCTATGCCAACATGAGATACCAAATAATATTGTTATCTTTATGCAAAGATCTTTATGATATGTGATCTACTTCTTTTTAATCACCTGAAGGACGACCTAGGTTAGATACGACTGTACTATAAAATTTATGCACAATAAGTTATGTTAGAGTCGTACACTCGATTCAAACTTTGATTACGACATTATTATGCTAATACTCTGTCCAGTCAAGTTATGGCGCTTCAATAAGTAGCAATCTAATCATGTACCTTTTGAAATGTATATATATAAATGAGTAAATCAAATACCAATATTTTTTATGTGATAAAATATTTATATCACCAAAAGTGTACGCCCAAAAATAAGCTGTATAATAATTCTTCTAAATCCAACGATTAAAAATAAAATATTAAATGATTTAGGTTTCATATAGAATTATAATCAAGAGGGGACCATATATTCATACAGATAGGAAAACATTTTATGTTTTATGAATGCGTAAGCGGGTGGTTGAATTTGTGTAAGGATGTTATTTTTTTTATTCATCTTGTCCTCGAGGAACACTGATTTGGTGATAAATTTTTATCAAGTATATGTATTATTTATTACATGTATTAAAATGTGATACTACAATATGAATGTATGTGTGTATATTAATGTTCGCATTTAAAACTTTTAAACTTTTTAAAACAAGAATTGTTTATACCGATCCTGATTTGGCTAACTGCTTTTACAACTGTATAATTAAGTTGAATGAAAATAATATTTATTATATATAATATAGTATNAAAAAAAAAAAAAAAAATAATAAAAAAATAAAAAAACACATCATAGTAAAATTAATACCTTCTCAGCTTCGCATCGAAGCTAAAAAATTATGTCAATAATTATATATATATACATCAGTTTAATAAAAAAATTGTCATTAGGTATTCATAATACAACACATAAAGTAAAAATGGAGGTAAGTAACACATTTTAAATAAAGTGTTCAATTAAAACCTTAATATATATAGATGTTTTTTCTAGAATTGGCAATTAAGTACTTTTTTGTTGATAATTTCCTGTTTTATGTTTAATAAAGGTAAACTTTATTTTACATTATTTATGCTTATTAAGTATATAAAATATATTTTAGCTTTGATGCGAAGCTGAGAAGGTATTAATTTTACTATGATGTGTTTTTTTTTTTTTTTTTTTTTTTTTT